GAATCGCGTCCAATGCTGCCTGCCTAGCATCGACCCCTGCAGCGAATCTAGCCTCAACCTCTGAGAGGCCATGCTGTCGTCTCATCCCAGGACGCATCAACAACCCCTCCTCGCTCGATGTGAATGCTCTCCCCCCAGCCTGTCCGTGGATGTCCTTGGGGCCTCGAGGACCAATGTCCTCCTCTTCTCCGCTCGTGACAAACCAAGCACGCAGCCTGCCATCTGCAGGCTCGGACGTCTGGACCCGCCCTCCGCAGCCTGCGTCTTCCCATGTTCCATGTCCCAAGTTCCAAGCTCCAAGTTCCAATGTTTCAAGTTCCAAGTTCCAAGTTCCAAGTTCCATGTCACATGTTCCATGTTCCAAATCCCATGTCCCATGTTCCAAATTCCAAGTTTCAAGTTCCACATTTCAAGTTCCAAGTTCCATGTCCCATGTTCCATATCCACCAAGTTCCATTTCCCACGTCCCGTGAAGACGCCCCTCCCGGCGTCCTAATCCGCCCGCAACCGGTCCCCGACCCGACGAACAGCTGACCATCCGCCACCCACACCTCCTCGGACTGGCGGCAGGAAACCGCCACTGTGCGCAACTCCGGGTGCCACCGTCCGGTCCCCGGTGTCAACCCTGCCCTCCGAAGTCCGTGCAGGCGGTGGAGGCATCGATCCAGCACTATCTCTGTCGCCGTCGCTGCATCTGCCGGACCCCACCTCACCCGCACTGGACTCCCTCCCTCTAACGCCGCTAAGCGACAAACCCGACCAGTGAGGGCTCTGCACTGTGAACGGCGGCGGTGAATATACCCTCCCAGGGGCCCGCTGCTTGCCGCTCTTGCGGCTCAGGTGTGCGAAAGGGTCATCCGTCAACGCATGCGCCAAAGCGTCGGCGTCGAAGAAAGTGTGCGCTGTGCCGTCACGGCGCGTGGGAGGCATTGTGGGGTCCCTCAATACCAAGGCGAGCCTATACGGATCGTCCTCCGGACCGTGGTTGTCGTCATCGTCGCCGTCCGGATCATCGTCTCCACCAACACCCGCAGTATCCCCATCTCCACCGGGTCCACCCTCTCCTCTGCCGCACACTGCGGCATCCTGTCCCTCATCACCCGCGGTCTCACTGTCGCCACGGCCTTCACTAGGGGACCCACCGCCCATGAGAACATCCTGCCCCTCAGGGACAGCCACGGCGGCATCCTGCCTCTCATAATTGAACTCCCCCTGAACCGCCTCCTCAGGGACACCCGAGTCGTCGACGTCACGGCTCCCCTCCCCTCCTGTCTCCAAGTCCCTCTGCCGACGCTGCTCGTCGAGATACGCGAACCGACCCTCCCACTGTGGCAAACTCCTCAGCCGCTCCTCCTCCTCTCGGTCCAAACGGGCATCCCTCTCCTCCTCAGTCTCAACAGGGCCCCGCTCAACGTCCTCGTCTGTGCGCACATCCTGCGGTGAGGCACGTCGACGTCCCTCGACACTAAAACCTCCCAAGCTCCCACCAAGCCCTATGTCCTCGAAGTCCTGTGTGCGGAGCACCGACGACGAGCGGGGGCGGATACCGGCGTCGAAAGGAGTCCTCTCCCCCCCACGATCCTTGCCGTCATGTGTCCGGTCTCTGCCTGCTGCTGACGCCAACCTCTCCGAACGACTAAGTGGCTCCCCCTCGGGCTATGTAAAGATCGGCTGATGGGAGGGAGAGAAAGCGACGATCGCGAAGGGGCACCTCCTCATCCTCAGCCTCCCCCTCTGCCTCGCTGTCGCTCCTAACCTCCCAACGCCTGCCTGTCTGCCGAAGACCTCCCCGTGGCTGCTGCTCCCCCGAGTCCTCCACGCGAACCTCCGCATGCGAACGTCCTCCATGACCACCGCCGGCTCTGCTGCTGCCATTTGCTGGCGCGTTCGACGACACAACACCAGTGATAACTGATGTGAATGAATTTGTGTCGTCACGACCCCCACCGTAAGTGAAGTACACTCGCTCAGCCGTCGGGTCGCGACTCAGCGGCGTGTCATCATCGTCAGTCCAGTTGTCGTCGATGTCGTCGTCTGGCGCCGCAGCGTCCACATCATCCCCACCCTCCGGCCACGGTCGCAGCTCCGTCGCTTTGCTGCCGAACACGTCCCGAACCGAACGGGCTTTGGACGGTCGGCTGTCACGAAAAGCGACAATCTGCCCCTGGATCTCTTGCTCGGGAACACTGCCATCAGGTCGCGCTCCCCACACCTCGGGCTCCACATCTCCCTCCTCATCCTCCTCCTCTGCCGCCGTCCTTCCCCGACCGCTCCCCATAACCCATGGCAACGCGTAGCAACCACCCTGCCGTGCGCACGAGGCCAGTTTGAGATTGGCGGCAATCTCAACCAGCTGTGCAAGCTTGGCGAACCCAAGCTTGCAGCGCTTCGCCGTGCTGACGCGCTCGTGCTCCGCCCAGTTCCTCTCCGCTGGAGAGGCAGACTTCCACAAGTGCATGACACGGATGGCGATGGTGCGCAACTCCGGGTAAGCACGTCCATGCTCGAACCACCACGCTGCACATCGTTCGGTCTCGCAGTCCCCCCTGCAATCTGCCGCCTCGGCATCGAAGAGCTCACGATCTCCCCAATCCCATCGCCTCGAGTGGAACGCCCTCATCTGGTTCCTCACGGTCCTGTACAATAACCCGACCAAATCGTCGCCGGTCTGCGCCAGGAGAAATCTGTCGCACTCCTCGACCACAAGGCGGTCTTCGGCGGTCGTCTGCAGCGAATGGTAATACATGAGGGACCGTCGGCGAGAGTTGAGGAGGTGGGCCGAGGCATGCGCGGGCTCTAGCATGTGGAGGTTGCGGATGGCAACCTCACGCACGCACGGCTCGATCATGTCCGTCGGCACGTCGACCCTCCTCATCAACTGCAGCAGATGCTGACTCCACTCGTAAACGACGGACATCATCATCCCACCTCTATCCATCCTGCGCAACAGTTGGTGGACGGGCGACATGACTAGGATGGCGTAATGGACACGCTGCCAAAACTCCCCGTCTCGGATCTGCCGCTGCACCCACTGCGCCTGAGATACGTGGGCTCGAGCCCATGGGATGCGTGCCCAAGCATCCCCGTACAAAATGCTCTCCAACGCATCTCGTCGGCCTTAGAGACACGTCAGCATCAGGAAAACCGATGCAAACCGTGTCTCAATGGGCTCGACGAGCTGAACGCGAGGGCTCACCTTCCTAAACAGGGCGTGAGCAGCGCCGTGCGATTTAATAAATCGCACAAGCGCTCGAGCGCGGATGATGGTCTCCTTGACCCACACTACTCGCATCCCGATATCTGACAACATCAAGTTGCAGACATGAGTGGAGCAGGGGAGCCAAGTGATCCTCCTAATGTCAGGCTCGGGGTCTGTGGCGAATCTGCACGCTGTCGCCGTATAGTTACTGGCGGAGTCTGTGCAGAAGCCGATCACGTCCTTTGCATGAGAGGACAAGATGATGGCCCGCCACCTACGGTACATGACGCTTGCTGTGTCTCGGACCGACCCATCACGTGCGACGGTGGCGTACAGCAGGGCGCCATTGGCGCCCCCGGCCAGGAAGTTCACGAGCGGCTTGCCGCTGCGCGACTTCCTCCCGTCAAAAAGGATAGTGGCAGCGCTGTGCCGGAAAGTGGCGCGCACCTCGCGCACCATCGCTGCCATCTTCACCCTCTGCGAAGGGATACCGCCCCCCGGTGTAACCCTGAAGGAGGGAAACCGGAACAGGATAGAGCGAGGCACTCTCTCTGCTGCCTGCCGCACCCTCTGAAACTCCGGACCACGGAAGGCGTTGAATAGCAACTTCTTCACGTAGATCCACTGAAGCCACGCATCATGGAACTCGGCCAACTTCTCCCTGACGTTCATCTCGACAATCGTGGTCTGCCGAGCCCTCTTCTCCTTGCCCGTGTCAGACACCTCGACGCTAGCCTGCCCCACTGTCCTCTTTTCCCTCCTCGCGCGCTCCACCTCACCTTGCGACGCCCTAGTAGTAGGACCCGCTCCACCGACGCCTCTCGACGTCATCACCACCTCCTCCCCTGGCAGGTTAGGCTCTCCGACTGCCTCGTCTGCCTCGTCTGCAACCGCCCCCTCCCTGGCCCCACCCTCGCGGCCCTCCTCCTCATCGAGGGCGTCCTGAATGTCGTCCCTCTCTGCGTCGACCATCCGTTGTCTCTGGCCACCTGCGGGCGCTCCCGTGTCCCGTGTGCCCTCATCTGCCATCCACCCCTACACCCGCTGAGCAGTGGATGGCACAAATGTGCAGTCCGTGTCGTTCCAGAGTTCTGCGAGAACTCTCATCCCCCCAGCCTTGCATAACTTCGACAGCGTAAAATGCGGCCTTCGACGACCCCCCCTGAAACAGGTGGCTGCATAAGTTGCAACGAAACTTTCGGTCCCCGTGCATCTTCGACTGGTCCCCGACGTACTGGCCCGCGGTGACGTAGTCCCAAACAATGTTCCCTTGCCTCAACTTCGCCATCTCCTTCCCGGACAGCGTGTTGAATTGGGCACCCCCAGACCCCCCCGCACCGTTGCTCCCTACACCCCCGTCATCGCCCCCCCACCAGGATCCAACAAGTCGTGACCTCGATCTTCGATGTCGTCTGACCGTGCCACACCATCGATGTAGCGTCCCCTCGATGTCGCTGCACCCTGACGCCCCCGCCGCTCCTACCGTCGTGTCCCCTCGATGTCGCGCCAGGCTATGGTCCACCAGCACCCCGGTCGGCCGCCCGCAACCGGTCCTCCGAGGCGGGCAGCTCTGCCCGGCCGCCGTCGGCCGTGACCAGCCTCGATCGGTCGCGTTCGGCCGTGTTCAGCCGTGTTCGGCCGCGGCCGGGCACTAAAAACGCCGCGCGCTTGAAAAAGACGTGCGCGGCGATGGCGACGGCCGTGCGGCGGCCTCAGGGCAGCGCAGGGCCGCTGTGCCGCGTGCTCGCGCGGCTCGCGCCGCTACAAGGTGCGCAGGAGAAGAAGAAGAAGAAGAAGAAGAAGAAGAAGATCTCTCTCTCTCTCTCTCTCTCTCTCTCTCTCTCTCTCTTTCTCTCTCTCTTTCTCTCTCTCTCTCTCTCTTTCAAGATTCTCTTTCTCTCTCTCTCTCTCTCTCTCTCTCTCTCTCTCTCTCTCTC